GCACATATAATTTTTAAAAATACCGGAATCTTGAATTAATTTTTATACAAAACTAAACGAAATTGTGTTGTCAATTATATTTTATTTATTTTCATAAAAATCTATGTTGGTGATTTACTTTTAAATATTAATATTTAACATTTAAAAAAAAAGAGAAATAAAAATCCGATTAAACAAAACAATAATACAATAATTTTTAATAATAGTAAGTTATATTTATATTAAAAAAGAGAATTTTATTTTAAATATTATCAAGAATTAAGAAAGGGAATTTATTTTATAAAGTAAACGTTCTCAGACTTTTTATTCTTTTTTTTAAGTATATATTGGGAAGTTGATTTTCCACACATGATTCTGTTATACTATTTCGATCTAATTTGTGCTTTTCATGGCATATGTTAGACACCGGCTTCGGCATCAGGCCGAATACGTAACAAAGGCGACACCACCAAAGGTGGTGTGGTGGAGCGGCTTGGTACGTTGATACCTACTCTTTGCAGCCCTCAATCCGCAGTTCTACGCGGTCCGCAGCCTTCGACGGTTGCCTGTCCGTCCGTTGCAATTTTCCGTCGTTGTTGTTTACTGTGGATTTTAATCGCCGATTCTAATTGCCGATCCACACTTGCCATATACATATATTTACTCTAGTCTGCAATACTAATTAATTATACATATATTTCGAATATTATTATATTGATTTCGAACCTTTCTTTTGTAATAAAGTGTAAGAAGCTCACGGAAAGTAAATCTGTAAACTTTAAGACATTTTTTATTATGTTTCAATGCTATTAGAAACAATTAATCAATCGTACGTAAAGATTTTTTGAAATCTATTCGAGAAGTGATGTTTTAAAAAAACACAAAGAATTGGAATTTTTATTACTGTAAAAACCATACAGTAAAATGCTGGTAAGAATTTATGAAGTTTAAGAATTTATAAGTTTCTTTAACCGCAAATCGTCGCTTACATGTTTGTTAAAGAGATAATTTTATCAAGTTGTAGATACGTAAGTTCGCAGAAAAATAAAGCGATAATGTTTGATGACGCTATTTTGATGTATCATATAATACAATAGGAATTCGGATCATGTGATTCTAAATTAAATTTATATTAACAAATTATAAAAAAGAGACGATAGTAAATTAAGTCAGGGGATAGATAGTTGGATAGTATCGACAGGTTTTTTGAGATTTTATTTTCTTGCAAGATAAAAATAAAGTAGATTATACACGATAAAAACTGAAATGATAAAAACTTAAAATATTGGTTGTATTTAACAAAAAGCAGCTTTGTAAGTGTTGAAAGATTAATATCCGCGCGACTGGAATATTCTTTTAGAATTTTAATTCTTTGCATCCTGGTATTGGATTGGTTAAATGTACCATTTAAAAATAACAATCATTAAGCGTTTACTGATTATTGCTTCTAGGGGTTACTTCTTTCCTAAAGAGCGGAAACGTGAAAAATGAAAATTTTATGTTTGCGTATTGTATACATACATAAAAATTTCCATTTTCCGCGTTTCCACTCTATAGCGAAAAAATTATATCTGTATCCTGATTAGCATTATTTTGAATCTATAAAGAATTTAAAAATATATTTTTGAACAGACAATTATAATTATCTAGCAATTATAATAACCCTTTAAATAATTATAATAGTCTAGTTAGACGTTTTATTTCCGAATTTTATTTTATTTCCGACTTGCAGCGGATAAGTTATGAACTTAAAAAATTATCGATTAGAAGTTGATTAGGAGCTAATTTATCTCCTAATATATTTTTCGGAACAGAATACCACTGACTTGTTTCTGTTGTGAATTCTTTATCTCTTGACAACTATAATATCATACTCTTTTCTTTTCATAATTTATCTCACACATATCTTTCCCATATTTATTCAGAACAAATCACACTGTCAGAAACTAAATCTCGTTGACTACTTACAATTAGACTGTCAAGTATTGCCTGTGACTTCACTGCTTGATACCTCTGAATGGCATGTAATGAAAAAAACAGTGTTAAATCGACCAGCTTTAAAAACAAAAAAGATTTGGAACCCACAATTAAAAAATAATAATACAGAAACTTTTTATATTTATGATGTGACTGGCTTATGGAATTACTCCGCGTGCCAATATAAAATAATAGCTACACAGCAAAGTGCATAATAACTCATAAACAACATTGCCTCTATTCTAAACATGCAGAGGTTCCGGTCTCGGATCTCACGTACAAATGGACTTGCTAGTATGGCTTGACAAATCTGCTGTACGTGTCTAAAATTTTAAACAATCCTTGTCTGATGTCACAAATATTCTTCTACTAATAATAAAATATTTAATAGAAATAATAATAAAAGTTTCAATTGTTTTTTAAACTTTTTACTGTAAATGTTTTATTTAATTTTTAATTCGAACATTCGAAAGCAAGGAATATTATTATACATTTTAATACAATTAATTTTTCAAAATATTATTTACTTATCTAACAATGTAACAGTTGCAAAATAAATTATTATATAGGATTTAATATTAATTAAAATTAATTTCAATGTCATTGAAACGATAAAGAAATTCATAAAAATTTGTTTGCATTTGTTGAAAGTTTAAGGTGTAGAAAATATGTCCTTAAAACCATTTTTTAAATTCTACATATTTAGAAAGTTATGCAATATTTTTCATGATTACGACAAGTAAAAATTAAACGGAACAACAAAAACAGCTCAAAGCTGAGCAAATTATATCGATATACAGATATTTTATTTTCAGATTATTTGGCATTGTTTTATTATTATTACTTTATTTTAAACAACTATACTGTGTCTATTTTTAATTAATACATGTTTTATTAAAATAAAGAACTCTTTTATAGAATGTCAATTATAGAAGATTTTATAGAAGAACAATTTATTGCACAAAAATTCTTACGGTGTTTTACTCTACAATTTATTATTTCTAGCGAACACATGGTGTCTATTTATTTTTTTTAATCTCACAAGTATTAAAATTCTAATCTCAAAACATATTGCTTTTTGTCATCAATGAATGTCTCTTGAAAAAGTACCGTTCAGTACCACGTCGGTAACTCCCTAAAGTGAACAAAGGCATATCCCGTCCTTCGTCAAATGCTTTTAATTATCTTTTCACGCTGTTTTAAACACTTGCCGGCGCTTCGTTTTACGTATAACGGAATGAAGGCGGCTTGCGCTGCTCGTAAATGATAACATCAGGCAGGAAGAGACGCCGGGATGTCACCTTCTTGTTCGAGAGGGCAAGACATCCACGTTTCGCGATGGCCGCCCTTAATTGGTTCTAATTAATGACCGCTGTCATCAGACTTGTGACTCACGACGCGTGCAACTCGAGCAGAATTCTAGCATTAGCGCTTCTTTACGCCGTACTGCGCATTTATCGAGATCCTTGAGATATATGGACTATTTAATTAAGGTTCGATATCGTAGAAATTTGAAAATAAATTTTCAATAATTAATGAACTTTATACAAAATATCACGGCACTTGAAAAGTATCATGCCGTTAATTTATCGCAATTTCAGTGACATTTCTTCTTATATAGTTCTAGCAAAATTCTATTTTTCACTATTATTTTTAAAGAGAGTTCCAGCTGCTTTTTTTAAATTTTGGTTTTTTATATAACAAATGCGGAGCTCTTTTTTACCTTTATACAAAATTATGAAAAGACTGGAACCGTCATGATTTTTTTAATATTAATAGAATGTCTAATTTCACAAATTTATTAAAAATGTAATTCACGTTAGCTGATTATATTAATTCTGGTCAATGAAGCTCTGTTAAAATGTATTTAGAAAAAACAGTTGGTTTATACTTAACAAGATAGAATAAAATTGTTTAAAAAAAGAAAGAGAGAATTGTTGATACAAAATGCAAAAAATCGACATTCCTATATTGCCTATACTGGAAACCTAATACTAAAGAAAGTAATTTCTGAGAAGTCAAACACACTACGCAAGCGACGACTACACTTTTGCGGTGGTAAAATCGTTTTGTTTGGGCGATTAAATTCGACGAAATGGTTTAATCATTGTGTGTGATACCATTCAAAATTTCCTCGCTTGTGTTCTTAGATTGGAACTATTTGTTTTGCGATGAATTTCGCAAGAACGAATTCGATCGGGTTGTCATGTCGTTGAAGGGAGGAAACTCTGGGTGCGCCGAATTAAATCGTGAATAACAGGGGATGAATCATCCCCCTCTCCTAAAACCTAGCGAATCGAGACGATCGATATCAAGGGCATCTTCGTGCCATTGCCGCGCCCGCCTTCCAATGCTTTTCCAAGTGCATTCTTGAATATTAAAACAATATCGATCCTCCATACTAGCAACATATGTAACGCTCATTTATGCAGCTGACGTGAAACGATCGCTCGACACGATCAAGTAGAGCTTTATGCTTTCACTTTTAGATGTAACACAACGATGATTATGAGCAAAGAAAATTTAACTTCTAAAAGTAAAATTGGAATATGATACAAAATTGAAAAAAAATTTAATAAAATAAAATTTAAACGTGTAAACGAAAATTATATATAATTCTTATCGCACATGATGGTGTTGCTATGTCTACTTTCATGTCGTATCTTCTGTACACTTCCGGTTGCGACAGTCGCTTCATTGTATGTCCTACTGAAATTCCGAACAATAAGAGAGACGCATGTTGAGTTCAAAGTCGTAGTTGATCTTACCTTTACATTGTTCTATTCAAGATCGACTTTGACGCGTCATGTCATAGATATACAATCTTTTAGATGTTGTTATTGTTGATATGAACATTTGTATGTATTTAACGATTAATTACAAATATTTTGTAAATTTTTATTAAAAAAACATCTGACTTGAACTACTTGGAAAAATTATATTGCAATTAAGAACTATAAAATAAATAATTTTTTCATAACGAAGCAATCTATAAACTAAACTAAACTGTTTGTTATTTTTAAATTTGACAGAAAATATTTCATCAACAAGAAAAGACTGAGACAGAGGTCGTTTATTGCCATTGAGAAGAAAACGATATTCTCATCGAAGATGAGAAATCAGGTGACGCTAGCATGATCAACATCGGTAGAATTAGTATCCTGATACTCTTCCTAATCCTCGTCAATGTCGAGGCAATCACAGTCGTGAACCATCATTTCGACGATGAATATATCCTTGAACACCAAGTCCTTCGTAAGGATGCGCTCGCTGAAGCGAAGAAACTGGAGATATATCCTGGTAAGAATTATTTTTTGTCAATAACGTTACAAGCGTAAAATTATATAGAATTAAGCATTAAATTATCTTAGAATTTTGTTCAATATTATTCAATATTATATATATATTCAATATTATATATATTCTATTTATATATATACAAAAATATAATATTTCTACGTACATTAAGAAATCATTTTAGAAGTGTACGAAAATAAATAACTTCTTATATATATGTATACATTAAGGATTATATTCGAGAGAACATAGGATATTTGATATATATTTCTTAACTATACTATAAGATATTATAAATTTTATAGCGGTCTTATATTTGTAATAATTTTTATATTTTTTGTTAAAATTTGAATAATTTTTTTTCTTTTGAGTATCTAAATTTTCTTATATATATTTTTTTTTTAAATAAAATTAAGAACATTAGTTTCTATTTATTTTTTTATCCAATTCCAATATACATAATATAATAAAAAACTATTCGCTTCACTGTTTATAAAAAGAAACTGTTGGTGTGTCTTAATATACTTGCTAAGGATAAATTGAAGAAAAGCGAATTTATTGAAGAATTTATTTCTTTCCAAATGTTACGATATATTCTGGTACATCTTAACAGCATTCTTGGTGTAGCCTTTTTTCCAATCTAGTCCAGTTGCTAAAAGCGTCGCATTAACGCTCTTGCCTGACTTCTACGACCGGTCTATAAAGCTTTCTTACGGTACACAGAAATGTATTTATCTTACCTCCAAGAATAGCTGCTTTGATCCACCTAACCAGCGTCGCACGATTGACGTTTCAAAATTTTTGTTCTGCCAATCTCACCCTAGTCGGCATGGACAAGAAAGGTATGAGTGAATAACCTTTGTGGAGAACAAAACACGATAGTTTTGTATTTAAATCGTAATAATGCTCGCTTTTTTATTTAACAAAATTTTGTTTTATAGTTTAACTTTACGTATAATTTGCACGTGCTTCTACGTCCTGTAAAAAATTATAATTTATTTTTAATATAGTAATAAATTGTATTTGGTACTAATTTATTTTTGAATTAATTTTAAAATTTTTATCCACACCTTAATTCACTAAAGAAAATAATTTTTATACTAACTCGTCAAGTCATTCTTTTAAATTGTTATACTACGTAACGTAGTAGGTAGTTCGATAATACAAAAGATTACGTATGCGTTATGTATTTATGATTAGAATCATCACTAATTACTACAAACCGAAATGTGGTAATTAGTAATAAGTGTGCGAACTTAAAAGTATAATTTTTATTGTTAATGCATGGAAATTCAATTTTTTTAATTTTTACTACAGTTTACCATTAGAGTCAGAGTACTTTTACTTTTTTTTCGTCACATTATAAGAATGCTCTGTTATATGTATGTACATATAATTATATCACATAAAGTCACCTGATGATAACACCGTAACAACGCGGTCAACTGAACACGTGGTTCTCATTACAATAATTCGAATAACCGAGGAAGTCGACGATTCTCCCCTAATATTATTCGCGTGAATTAAGAATTGTCGGTCGTGCAATCCTAATTTCTGTAATTCAATCCATTAGTCGTGACTCGGAGAGACCTTGTAAAGACTGCCATACACCTGTTGCTTGTCACGTGTGAACGATTTAAATTTTCAATTGTTATTGAAGTGATAAAGAAAGAAAATTAGTGATTACCGTATAATGCTGTTAACGGCAATTAGAAATTCTCGGTCATTGTGTGCGCGGTTCTCATATGATTCAATTAAAGTTTCTCACCAAATATTATAAATACAAAGAATACGCGATCGCTTATTGCGATTGTGAATTTAGCACGGTCTAACGAGGCTCCGCGAAGGCGAAACTTATATATATACATATTTACGATCGATGTCGATACAATGATACCTCGCTATCGTCGCGTCGCAAGCAGATAATTCGCTATGTCCGCGACACAATTTTATAAAGGATTACGTAAGGAGCCTCGAGACGTTAATTAACGTGAATCATGAATGCGGATTCGACGCGATTGTCATGTATTTTAATCATAGTTGCCGGCATCGAGGTTAATGAAATATAATCCTTAATTAATAAGTAGTCGTACGTTCAGCTTTATTTCGATGCCTGAGAAATACGGTGTCTCGCACGTGTCGTTTTACTCGTTCAGTAATGAAGATTGCAGATATAACAATACGACGGTATTTTTCATTGCCGATTTCTCTTTAGCTTAAATTCTTTCCTCCTATTTAACTTCTCCTTCCCCCTCTCTCTTTTAATTGTTTATGCTATATAATCTGATTTATTAATTGCAGGACCCATTCCGGGGTGCAAGCCTTGCACCTACTTCGAGATGACTTACTGCAAGAATGGCAGCATTATCAACGATCATTGTTGTTGCGATGGCAACGTCAACGGTAAGTATTCGAGCGGGTGTATGAAAAAAATGAGTAATCTTACAAGTTTAGTAAAACTATTCTGACTATTTTTGTGACTATTTTTGTGAAATTTATGATAAACTTTGTTTGTGTGAAAGTAAAAAATACCGGAGGTGTAAGATAAAAAGTACATTAAAAATATAGGAAATCCGTCCAAGTTATGGTTACCTCACTAGTAAACTAAATCATACTATTCTCAAAACTGTAAGCTCGAACAACTTTATTTGTATATTTTACCGTGCAATGGTCAAAAAATATTCGTCAATGAAATAAATTCTATTGAGATGTATGGTAATGTGCAAGTTGAGAAATAGTAACAAATTGTAGAGTGACATATAATTTTGTTTTATAAAATGTAATAAGCATCTTATAGTATGGCTATATGACAACCGTTCGTTTACCAAAAAAGTAAAGTAAATTTTACGTAAGTGAGCACCTGTTCCAATATAAAGACTTACTAATTTCACAAAATTTATTACAATTCTAGTGCGTATTACGTTTCACTTTTCTCCATGTGGATTAATAATTAATAGCACTCCAGATAAAATTACACGCGAACTCGTTTTACGATGGATTAACGAAGCGGCACATGATTTATCTCGGCGGTAACAACAAGCCGATCGAAATCGGCTTAACCTTCTCGACGACGGAAGTTGTGTTTTCCGTTCTCGTCCTTCGTTATTCATGCAGTGGATGGAGTCATATGAAAAACCACAGTCCCCGACCGACGAATTCGTGCGTGAACAATCGGCCGTGGCGAGCGAGCGCTTGTGCAACCGCGCTTCACGGAAATTTAGAGCAACGGCAATGATAGTGAGCGCGCGGATCGGCGCAATTTCACAATTTGTACAATGCCAACGCGAGTCGTGCGACGTAATCGCAATTATTTTTAGTCGATGCACTACGTGCCGTTACAACTCGAATTGCATGTTAATACCTTGAATAACCGTGGGATTGACAAAGCGCTTACATATATTGCGAAATTCCTCCCGGTATCATAGTTAAGCCGGTATTCATAGTTAAATCTTACATTTAAAATCGTTTTAAGTACAATCTTAAGATGTCATAAACCAATCAGTTAGCTGCATTAGCATCTTAAGACATTATTTAACACCTATAGTCCGTTCTTATTTTAAGACCAAAATAAGAACAGACTATGAATATCGCCCTTACAAGTACCTTTAGAAAGTTTCAGTGGCTTATAAAAATTATCTACGTTGTTCAAATGTAAAAGATATGATAATATCAAAGTAATGTTAACTTAGAATTATAATAAATAAATAAATTTTAAATCTTTGGTATCACACGAGTGTCATGTAGTTCATCAGATAAAAATCGCGTTAAAATCAATAGATATGTGATTGGAGAAATAAATCATACTGTTTAAATTTAGCTTAAACCTATATTTTTATACTTTATTAAAGAAAAATTTGTTTCCTATATTTTTTCCAATAATTCACGTAATTAATTCAATAAATTGTATTTGTTATTAATAAAATTTGTTAACATCCTTTACATCGTAGAAATAAATTATAGAATTAGAGAGATTAAGATTGCAAAGAGAAGGATGCTAGAACTACATAATTACCAATTTCCAAGTTTAAATTGTTGTAACTGTTTTAAATCGCGATTTATCGTAAGTTATTTTAGATTTTATTCTTGTTTTAAACTATATAGTTATTTAATCGCCATATGATTTATTGACTAAAGGATCATATTTTCTTTATATGCCAAGAAAAGTTTAGTTCCCTTCTTTTGAACGGAAGGTCAGTCACCTGTTCAGGAAATCATTCCTCGTCGTAATGAGTTATCCTTGTCTTCCACGCGCGTGTGTAAGATCTAATGTGTGATTCACTCGCGCGAGTCATCGAGAGTCGCTTGAACATTTCGCATGCTTCCCGAACTCCTCACAGGACTATCGTCCATCGACCTGCACTACCTTTGCTCGAATTTCTAATTAGAACAGTATTTCTAATTAACATACCATTTATGCAACGATATTGAATAAATTTACTTCAGTGTAAACATTAAACAGTAATATTAACATATTTTTAGTACAACTTATATATTTCTCAGAAAAAAATGAACGTCGATATCAAATCAAATTATAAACTTAATTATTTCTATCTCGCTAGCAAACTTAACGAATTTCAAATGATTATTCGAAAAAAACATTGTAAAGACTGTTTATTTTTTTAATAAAATTTTCTAATTATAAATTATATTTTTCAATTATATATTGACAAAAATATGCATGAAAATCAATTTTTATATACTTATGGTTTTTTTAAAAACTTTTAAGTGGTTTTATCAATATCAGTTTTAAAGAGAAAAGAATATAGAAATACTATTGTAAAATTAAAGGGTGTTTTTATATTATTTGTAAATTTTTGTATTTTCGTTCGTTTAAGACGTTGAAATCCTATCCCGCGTGAAGATTCTGTAGGTGTACCGAAGTTGCATTGTTGCACGCAACAGCTACGCACGTGGAATACCTAAAACTCGAATCACCTCCCGAACTCCCAATCGCACCTGTGAATCACTCGTGCATTTTGCGCTCGTTTTTAATCGCTTGTGATCGATTAAGCATCGGTTGTGTCGAAGCGTTACTCGAAACTTAACCTCGATCGATTTGTACCTGTACACGTTTCGAAGAATCGGGATTGCAAATACTCGAGTCATTCACGTCATTTTTTCCGGAATTGATAACGCGCCGGAAGCTTCCGATATCTCGTTAGATAAATTAATTATCGTCCCACGAAACCGGTTAATTATCGCAACGCTAACATTTAATGGAGGTTTGCGTTTAAGTCCCTCGCCCCTGAGATGTGCGTAAAATTATGTTTATTACGCCTTAACAACAAAATGCCTTGTGACGTCGTAATTTCCTACTGCAATTGCACTACTTACTCAAGCACTATTAATCTATTATTTACAATAACTGCCGTTATTAACTGGTTTAAAGAATAATAGGCAGATGGCCGTTTAGAAAATCATAACAACGTAATTAATGGGAACTAACAAAAATATAGATGAAATTTAATTATAAAGGAAAAAATAGACAGATCTCATAATGAACAATAAAAATTGATTATATTGGCCATTACTTTGCTTGAAGCTGGCAAATTCCAAAATATCAAAATCAACAGAATACATGTTAAAAGAAAACTACTTGTCACGAAAATATAATTTATTTGTTTGTTATTTTAGAAGTGTTTCTCTTCGTCGAGCACACTTGTCGAATGGGACCAGAGGAATGCGAAGTGCACGCTGAAGACTGTGCGGAATATACAAGACTGCGGGAATGCTGTTGTCATTCTTACTTGGTCTCCACTTGTAAGTGTTAACACCATTTTAAGCGTTTTGTCTATCATATGCAGACAGTATTTTACGCTCTTTTTTGTCGTAAATTATACAATTATTGAAGTTATATACGGTATCAATTGTACATACTTATCTACTTATAACATATATATGTTGCTTAACAAATTGATTAAAACTTTAGGCAATTAGGCAAGACTGATTGTAGAGAATTAAGATTATTCTATAATTAATTTTTGTAATAATGTCGATAACAAAGACATTTTTTATTTCGGCATTTTTTATTTCGATACAAAGTGCAATTTTCTTAGAATACTACGAAGTATTATTTTTAGCTTTATTATAACTTCGTGATACGATATCATAGCAATGTCATTTGTAATCCCGAGAGTGTCGATATGCAAATGCAAGAATATACTTTGGAATCATCCGATCCGCGAACTATGCTCGAATTACCAACTTATTATCGCATATGGTGACTTTTAAATTGAATGGTGATAGTATTATAGAAGGAAAAGAGATATATATTCTGTAAGATCAATTATATAATTATTCTTATTGTTAATTATATTACTATATGTATATCAAAGAACATTTTCATTAACATTTTCTATGATGTGTGAGTGGTCTTAAAACTTTCGGATGTGTTGAGAGAGACTTTTCATCCAGGTTGTCTTTATAAAAATAATTCTTGAGTTTAATAAAATATATTATAAACTACTTTTTACGTAATAAATATAATAAATATAGAATATCACATCTACGACTCACGCAGCGATCAAATCACCTAAAAAAACGAATTAATCATAAAATTCTTCTATCCGCCTTATACGCTTTTTAAACATGAATTTCTTTGTTGACTTTATCATTACAAAGAGAGAAATAGAAATATTCAGAACAGTTCTGTGCAATTACTAATATTTTATAATATTATTTCATATACATATGTTATCACATAATTTTATTAAATTATTATAATATGATATAACGGTAAATTAATAAGAATTTCTTTTGCAGGGAAACACCTGGCAAGTGGCGCCGAATCGCTGGTCAGTAGGAATATCATCTTTGTGATGATTCTTGTGATGATTCTCAGGTTACATCTGTTGTTGGCCTAAACGCACAGCACCAAAAATGTTGTATATTATTAATTTTAATAAATTGTTTTTATTATTAAGATCTGACAAGAAAATGACAATTGTTTGTAATTTGGTAAAAATTTGACTTTAAATATAGGTTTTAAAATGAGAATATGTAATGCGAATTTGACTTTAAATATAGGTTTTAAAATGCGAATATGTAAGGCAAACAAAATTAGGAAATGAGAAAAATAATATTATTTTTTTAATACAATTTTCTAAGACATTATTTATAGGACAGATACTATTGTGATAATACGGTCGAGTAGTAATTGAACTTTAGATTTTTCGAGGTTTCATTTTCTTGTATGGCAAAAATTAAATCTAATGTACACGAAACATTATTTTGATTAAAAAAAACATCTTTTTAATAATATTTTTTTAAAATAAAAATAGCCAGTACTTTTACATTTTTAAATGTCATTATTTTCTTGTTTTTGCCAATTGGAGGGTGATATAGCCTTGAAAATGAATTAATTTTTTTAAACATATTTTTAGGTTCGACAATTAGCAATAAGTGATTTTTTAATTAAATTGCCTGTCTCTTATTTCAATAGCTTTTAATTTATCTCGTAATGTATACTGTTCAAAGCACTCAACAAAAAAAATAAGAAAATATTCGTTATTATCAAACAAAACAAGAAAATATCCGATACTGTCTATGTAAACGACATGCAACGAAGAAACAATGTATAAAACAAGCAGCTTTAACATACAAAAAAATCGTAAACCATAAAGAATAATAGATGTTTGTATTAATAAACTAGAAACGAAATTTAACTTAAATGATGTGACTGATTGGTAGAGTTAAACCTGCTAGTAACAACAGCTACATAACAAAATATACAATAACTCAGACAGCACGAAATATTTATAATAAATATTTATTATTACATATTATTACATACAATACTATTCATTTTTTGAAATGCTATATAAATATTTTATGTATATATAACTTTATTCAAAATATTATTAAAATATAGAGTTTTATGTAATATTTATGATGAATATAAATAAATATTTTTAAACATTTTTTGAATATTATAATGTCTCATTAAGTATTACTATATCATTTATTATAAAACACTTATAATAAATATTTCATAATATTTGTTAATAAATGTTTATGATATGTCCAATCTAAAAAACCACAAAAATATTTACAAAATTTTTTAAATAAATCATAAATATTTACAAATATTTTATAAATATTGTGTACACTGTCTGGGAATTTACAAACAACACTGCCATTATTTTCAATATATGTAGAGAGATTCTGGCTTTCATGTGTGTGTAGATTTGCCAGTATAACAAATGCTATTACACGCTAAAATTTTAAATAATTCTATCCGATATCACTCGACCTTCCTTTATAAATTGTATATACCTATGTACAAATGACGTGTAAATATATTTTGCGCAAATTTTCCGAGTTTTAATTTTAAACAAAATATTATTCTCCTGGTTACTGATAGTGATAGTTTCTGTAAACAAAAACTTATGAACCTATACAAAAAATTACAAATCTAAAACAAATATGTCTGTCATAAAATATATTGCATTGTATCGAGTAAGAGAGATTTAATGTAATGTTGTTTTGCGGTAATATGATGTACGAGACAAGATTATTAGTGGCACGCGATCTATTGTCTGAGGCTTAATTGCTATTACATTTACTACATACGCGATAAATATAAGAGACATTTAGACCTTAAACTGATTGAATATTATTTCTACAAAAATAAATTTTTGATGTGTCAACAATGTTGTTGAAAAAATTGTAAAAATATTAATGTTTTATCCTGAAAATTGAATAAGAGGGACTTCTAAGTTTATATATTTTAAATTTTAATAAATATGATATACTTCGTGTTTCTGAAGATTAAATATTTGAGAGAAAAGATGTTACGTGTATAATATTTAGCTCAAGATTACAAAATTTTGATAACAATGTCCTTTAAAATTGTAAGAAATGCAATATCAGTAATTTTTTCACACTAAAACTTTCTAGAAAATCTTAATTTTATTAAATTTTAGTTTAAATTATTATAAATTGCTTATATGTGCGTAAATATAAATGACATATTTGAATGAATTCTACTATTGGTGCTTATACTCATTATAATGTGCTAAGTTATTACGGAATCATTTTCTTATCATAAAGATAAAATATTAAGTATAATAATTTTATGCAAAATAATTGCCTGGACCTTCTAGCTAATTCGCCTCGTTTTGACCTACATTTCTCAAATTAATATGTTCCAATTCTAGTTTAAAATTGACATAGATACAACTAAACATCAACTTTTTGTCATTTGTAATATTAAGCGCCACACAGCGATACAATTGATAGTAAAATTTCAACTGTATTAATTTAAGAAACATTGTAAATCGGTCTTTTACAAAGATTATTTTTTATTAAAATTATTTTTATTAACCAATTTTTAATATTTTTTAGATAAAATTTTATTAAATTTTACATATGATATAATATAATTTAAAATTATATAACCTTTTCTTTTAAAAAATTAATAAGTACAAAGTATATAACAAAATTTTATAATATATTATAATTATGTATTATAATATACATATACAAGATGTTTGAGAAGTAATGAAAAAGTTTGTCGCATAGGGATAGAATGGACTAAACTAAGAAGAATTAAAAGTTCTCTACCATTTTACAATTTTCGCAATAGTTAACGAGATATTAATTTATAAAAATATCCGAATTCGCCCGGTCCACCGCTAAATGCAAGCGCGCGGCTGAATACAACCGCCCAGTGAGGCACGCCGCGCTCGTTCGCTATCGCTAGACACGCGTTGTTTATAACAAGCGGCAATAATCGTCGTTAGACAATGTCCATTTATAATGTTATAAACAGAATATTTGATGAGAAATAATTACTTGTTTCTTGTTAAAAAAATTGTTTTAAAATTAAAATTATTGTATTATGCATATTGTGACGATTAATACAATTATTCCTAAAGATGATTATTTTCCAATACCAACATGTACATACATAGCCTGCATTTTTTTCTATTTTTGACTCACCGATACATAGGAAGAGAAAGATGATCATCAACCAGTTACGAGTAACGGGTACATCGACCGCGTTCTACGAGGAAGGCGAGGCACAGCTAAAAGTTACGTGGGTTTATGAAAGAAATCAAACGAACAGCACACGATCTCATTTGTCTGAAAAATCTCAGCCGCGTCAAGAGCTACAGCGAGTGCTCGCGGACTTTAATCTTGTTTGTCTTTTTTTTTAATAAAAAAATGTCACTATTAATTCTTTTCGGTATTTTATTGCATTGTTGTGCATTTGGTATATCAGGTGAGTTAATTTATTCAATAATTATTTAATTGCAAGTCAAAGAATACAATGTCTTCTCTTATACATGTTAAAAAGAAGTTTATTGATTAAATTGTACTTAAATTGTATATGGATAATAATTTTTTGTCTCAACATAACTTTTCAATTTGTTTAAATAATTGTTGTCACAAAATTATTGATCATATTTATTGTATGATGTTGGAAAATGCTATATTAATAATATAATATTATTCATGATAATAATATTTACAAGATAAAGATTTAATAATTTTTTTTTAAATAGTTATATTATAAGTATTAATTTTTTATTGTAGTAATACATTTTGAATATTGTTTTTGTAAATAAAAAGGAGACTTTTTTCTATAGGGAAGTTTTTTTTTAGAGTTAAAACAACTTAGTAATCGAAATTTTGAAGTAAAGAAATAATTTTATTTTAATTATTTTAGTTGATTAAGATATATAAACTATTGATAATATTTCGAGTTACGTCATTTTTCATGAATTATTACAAACTTATTATAGTTTTGTAAAACATCAAAATCGTCACAAATAAAAAAGGATAATTTTTTTAAGAATTGTTAAACAAAAATGACATTTGATCATGTTACTGAAAATATGTTGTTTTATAAATAAAAGTATATAAATGAAAAAGGTTTTAATTTCAATTACACATATCTTATATGTGCAATTTATTTTTCTAATAAATAAAAGTTCTTTTTCACAAATTTTTATTACTGTTTAATGAATGTTCCTTTATGAGTGATTTTCAGATGAGCACGAAAAACTGGCAGGTAATCAAGTATCAGGGGCGATAAATGTGATGAACATGCCACTAACACTTTCGCCAGAAAATGTACGACAATTTCAAGGAAATTATCCTTTTCCTTCACTCGGATACAAACCGCAAAGGTAAATTTATAAATTTCTTATATTTATTCTTATAGAATCAATTAATTTTACATTATACAATTTAACTAAAAATCAATATTAGAAATATTATATATTTTGTTATTAAATAATTATTAAATAATTTCTTTTGTTTCTATGCACGTTATAAGAAACGTCATAAAATATAACGGAACAAATCTAAAATTACATAGATAACATTGCTTAAATGCAAAGAAAGAAAATTGATACAATACAAAAACAGTATTATAAACTTTCAATAAAAAATATAACTTATTTAAAATAGAGTGTATTTATGTATGTCTAAGCGGAAATGGTTTTTAAGATGACAGAAGATTGTGATCGGAAAGTAATCAAGAAACATATATTCTAATTAGAAAAGTAAACTTTGGACTAAACAACTGTTTTTAAATATTAAAAAAGTTTTTTTTGAAGAAAACATTCAGTAAGCATTAAAATGAGTATTCATCAGCTCATCACATGCAACATTTTATACAGCACTTTAAATAATTATTGATAATGCAACAAGAAAAGTGCAAAAGATAAACATTATAATAATCTAACAAAGAAAGGACAATAAGAGTCAGATAGTAAATAAAATAAAATAAAGCGGTTAAAACATTTAAATAACTTTAACTGTACATAGAAATACTTTAACTATATACATAGAAATAATTGAAATACAATAAATAAATTAGAAGTACTTAGCCGATTATGATGTTATAAGAATGATAACGCAAATTTGTAAAAAACGCAACTATAGTTTCGACTCCAAGGATTGAGTCATCTTTAGAC